TCTATCTATCTATCTATCTATCTATCTATCTATCTATCTATCTATCTGTCTATCTGTCTATCTGTCTATCTGTCTGTCTATCTAGTTATCTATCAGTTTTCTGATTTTTGAGGTATTCACAGAATACAGTGAGTGGTTTTAAATGAAGTCTGGTCTCTGAACATAAAAAGTGTTTTCCGTTCGTTGTGCTCGACAGGTGACAGTTCAAGCTTCCCACTGGTGATTTATTGAACCGAGACTTTAAAGTCTGCATGTCCTTTTCACACTTTTAGCTGTTTGTTGCACGTTGTACTTTTGCCCTCTTGTCTCCTCTCTCTGAGATTCGGTGATCAATGAGGTTTGCAGGATAATTCAGGACGGTACGCACCAGTCGATGGTTTGAGCTGTCACCTGTCAGATGCTACTGGGTCAGTGCAAACGAAGGAGAGGCAACAAGGAGGGCAGAACAGTCCACTGCTATAAAAACTGTTAGTGATGCTGTCAGTGATACCTGTTCTTTGCTACACTCAGATTGATTCCCATAAGTCATTTCTATACACGTAAGAGGATTTAAACTCAGTACAAATATACAGATAAATTTCATCATAAGATATATGTTTGTTTTTTATTCCTTTGAATCACGAATCGGGAGGTTGTTTTTGGGAAACGGTAACAAACTAACCTCCAGTTAAACCGTTTGAAGACCTAAAGCATTTTACCATCTGCACTCGATGGCGTCTGTAAAATCTGCAGGAAGTCGAAACAGCAACTCCTGCCATTGATGGGAACAGATTTAAAGCTTGGCTTTGAACATCTGCAGTCAGGCTTACTCATCCTGGGCACAAACATCAGATTAATTTCTGTCTTTTAATGATTCATTTGAAATGTTCTTCTTCCAGGGTGGAATGATGATTAAACTCAACTTCAGTGATTTTTAAAAACAAGCTTGACTATATTGTGGGTTTTCTTTGATCCACACGGTCCATAATGCACTGAAATCTGTTAACAAGTGGTGTTCCATCTATTAACTTCCTGTTAGTGATCATGATTAACTGCAGCTGGTAGTTTCTCTTTGCCTGCAAAAAAAAAAAAAAAATCTGTTTGACAGCACTGATAGGATTGACCACCACTTGGAAGAATTTACTCAAGTTGGGGAAGTTTTTTTTTTTTTACACATTTCTAAACCACTTCTGATTCCAAAATCATTGTACCAAACAACAGTTGGTTTTGTCAGAATTTAGAGAAAGTTGGGAAGAAGACTTAAACTGCCCCACTCAGATAGAAAGACACTGGTTCAGATGTTCAGGAACCACCCAGGCTCAAACCTGCCATGGACTGGAACCTGCTGGAACACCAGAGTCCCTGTCCACAAAGAAGACAGCTTTACATCACCATGAACTGAGAGAGAACCAAGTAAGAATCCCCAAAACCTTCAAGCTGGACTGAAACCTGCAGCTGTCCACATGGACATGACATCTGTCTTCTGGAGAAAAGTTTAATGGTCGGATAAGATAAAGATGGAGCTGTTCAGACAAAAACGAGGGAAGGGTCAAGGTGAGGCTTTCAGACCTGAGAACATTGAATCAACTGTCAAGCATGGAGACACTGGTTTGGGGACATTTAACCAAATTGGGGGGTGGATATCATTGAAGCTGTATAATCATTCCACCATGGAAAAAGATCGGTTCCGTGAAATCCTCAAAAGACCAAAATAGAATGCAACATTCATGCTCCTAATGAGTGAATCAAACCTCTGTTATGAAGTGATTTAGTTCTCTTCAGTTCCATTTTTCTGGACAGGGACCTCTAAACGTTCTCCTTCCAACCACATCTGTGACAGAAAGGCTGCTTGTTCGACTAACGGGGGAGCACATGCTCCTTTATCCTCGACACTCAAGTTGAAGACAAATTAGATAAATGGTGATGTGGTATAAAAGCAAATCAATTCATCTGCAATGGTTCATTTTTGCTATAATACATAAGAACAACAAAATGTTGACAGAAACCAGGATCCAGGGGATTTTTCCACAAATGCCATGCAACATGTTGAAGTCTTATAACTTTCTGAGGCGCAGTTTTACAAAAATACATGCATCATTTTTGTTTATTTTTTTTTTAGGTATCATTTTTGTTGACAAATATAAGATTGGCTTTGTGTAATATACTCTGTAGTTGGTCTGCAGATGAAAATATAGTAGATAAATTGGTGCTGAGAATGTTGGTAGTAACATCAAGCAGACGACTTGTTGGCAGGAATACTGAGTATAAACTCTAGGAAGTCTGTTCGTTGTGTTGGGCACCTTTTATTTAAAAGAATAATTCTGAAAAATAAATTAAAGAGAAATGAGTTCCCATGTGACACTTTCACACCCACACTATTCCAAACACAAAAAGTGGAAATATTAGTGAGTTTTGTGTGTGTGTTTTCATGCACACACACATTGTCTTCAATCCACACAATATATTCTGCTATTTTCCAAATATTTGGGACAGGTTTTTTTTTGTTAGTTTTTTTTTGTTGTTTTGTTGAAAAAAGGCAGTTCAATCAAAATAGGTCTTGCAGTTTTAAATAAGAGAGCTATTCCATAAAGTATTCAAATACGTCTTTAAGATTTCACGATCGTCCCTTTTTTTGAACTTTACTTTCTCACAAGTCTTCCACCCTTAGAATAGTGTAAATGGAACTGGGTGCATTTCAGCAACAGTCATTTTTAAATGATCTTTTTAAGTCAAAAGAATCCAACTATTACACAGGTTAGAAAAGGAGAAAAGGCAGACCGCAACTAAGGACGGAGAAGAAACCTCATTTTATGACGATCTGTCATCGTGAGGGCTCCCGTCTGAGTTTTCTGTGTCCCCTTCAGAGATGGCTTGCATGGGCGCTGTATAGAGGCGGCTGCGCGTACTGTATCGACTGCTGTTGGCAACTGGAGGGATCCGAGAGCGTCCTTGTCGAGATGCGGCTGACATGGGCAGGGTTTTGGGGATGAAACTCTCAGAGTTGGCTCTGGGGAAAAGGCCTGGTATTTGGATTGGGTCAGGGCCAGAAAAGGTGGGCTCTTGAAGTGTAGATGACGACTCTTCGGCTTGTCTGAAGGGCCCTTCCTGAAGAGAATCTCCCGGTGTTTTGGGTGTGATGGGGCTCTTCAGGATCTCTGTGGCTGACATACGGTAGCTAGAATCAGACCGACTGCCTTTTTTCAGCAAAAGAAGTTTAAACTCCTCGTTGGACGTGCTGGATTTTTTAGCGCTGCGATAAATTGGCACGGGGGCTCGTTGGGACCCAACAGCATTGGCTATAGTAGCTGGAAAGTTAAGAGGAGGGGCTGGAGGGACCACGCCGATGGGGGCGCTGCTGGTTGTTACTGGTGCAGTAGGACAAAGACGAGACTTCACGTTTAGGTCTCCTGAATCTTTACGGCCTAGGACTTTTCTCTTGGACCTGAATGGAGAAATCAGTAGATTTAACCGATACATAAACACTTTGATCTCTCAAAATCTGCAAGTAACCGGATCATATCTATCATATGACAAAAGCAATTCCTGAACCTTTCAGGTGCAGACAAACAGTGCCTTGAAAACAAAATATTTAATTTGTCCACATTTGATCTTGTTCCAATCACAGGCTTCAAAGGATTTTACTGGGATTTAGCATGATAGACCACAAAGTAGCACATAATTGTAAAGTAAAATGATTCAATAAAATAAAATAAAAAACAAAAATTTGAAAAATGTGGCTTATTTTTGCATATCCCCTTTACTCTGATACTTTACTAAAATTCTAAATGCCATCAGATAACTAGTAAACAGAGTCCATCTGTGTTGGACTTCATCTTTATTTAAATCCATTTGTTCTGGGAAGGTCTCATAGGTTTAACATTAGTGGTCAAACGGCATCATGAAGACCAAGGCGGACGGGTCAGAGATAAACTTGATAAGTTTTAAGCAGGGTTAGGTTATAAAACAGTATGCTAAGCTTTGAATATCTTACAGAGTAATCTTCAATCCACCATATGAACATGCAAAGAGTGTGGCACAACTGCAAACCTACAAAGACATGGCTATCCACCTAAATTCACAGGCCAGGCAAAAAGAGCATTAATCCAAAAAGTGTGAGGAAGTTGCAGCGATGCACAGCTCAGGTGGGACAATCTGTCAACAGGACAACTGTTGTGCACTCTACACATCTGACCTTTATGGAAGAGTTGCAAGAAGAAACTGGAACAAAAACCAGAAGTTCTGTTTGCCGCTTGACAAGCTACAGTATGTAGGGACACAGCAAACGTGAAAAAAGCTGCTCTGCACAGAGCAAATCTACATTAAACTGTTTGACCTAAATGCAAAAACACTTGGCATCAGAAAACTAACACCGCACATCAACCTGAACACACCATCCCCACTGTGAAACGTGGTGGTGGGAGCATCATATTGTGGGGATGCTTTTCTTCAGCAGGGACAGGTAAGCTGGTCAGTGGAGGTTCACTTTCCAGGAGATCAACAACCTGAAAGATCCAACCAGACCAACAATGGAATGGGTCAGACCAAAGCATATTTGTTTGTCAGAATGGCTCAGTCAACGTCCAGACCTAATTCCAACTGGAAATCTGTGGCAGGACTTAGAAACTGCTGTTTACAGATGCTTTCCAGTCCAATCTGACAGAGCTGTTTCACAAAAAAAAAGCAAAAATGTCAGTCTCTAGATGTACAAAGCTGGAAAAGACAAACCCCAAAGGACCTGCAGTAGCAAAAGCTGATTTTACAACACTTTAACTCAAAGGGGCTTTATGTAAATGCAAGTCACACTTTTTAGCCTTTAATTTGTAAAAACAACATATGTGTGTGTGTGTGTGTGTATATATTTTTTTTAATTCTTTTTTGGGGGGGTAGCACAAATGTTTTTTTCCCACTTCCTATGTTCTTGCTACCTTGTGTTGGTCACAAGTTCTTGGACATAAATTCTCAATAAAATATTGAATTTTGTGATTACAATATGAAAAAATGTGAAAAAGTTCAAGGGGTATAAACTATTTTTTTATTTACTGTAAATAGACTGACTAAACCACTCAAATTTTACAGTACCTGTGTATCATGGCAAACAGGTCCTCAGTTGTACGACTCTTGTTAGGTGATGTGATAATAATATCTTCATCCACTTTGGTATCATCCATCAGAGGGGAAAGTGAATTGTCACTAGGTGTGGAATCTGTGGCACACAACATCCCTATCACATGTCATCTGGTTGTCTGATCATTTAATACACGTCTTATGAAAAATCAATCTTCCCTTTTAAAATACCCTTCTAATTACACATCCTAGTCCAGGGATGGTGATTTTAATGTGGTTTGAAAGCTTACCTTTACTGAAGTAATCCTCAGTGTCTGGAGTGGTTGAGTCATCTTTGCTCTCCTGGGGTTGCTGATGCTGATGGGCACTTCTGGTAGCACCTGATATCACCTCTCTCTCTTCTTCCTGCATTTCTTGTCCCCATTTTCGTGTATCGCTGATTAGGTAAGGATGCGATGTCTCAGTTGTGTTACCAGGCACTTTAACTGGACTAGCCCATGACCCTGAGTTTGAGTGAGATCCCCCAGCAAATTCATATGCTGGGGGAGGAGGGTGGTCAGATCTCATACCGCCTCTAGAACACACAGCCTTCTGTGACTCTTTCACCTGCTCTTCCCCCTCCTCTTCATCATCTTCATCATCATCGTCGTCTTGAGAAAATGAGCGCTCTCCCAGAACCCTAAATTCGGAGTGTGCGTGAGTTGAATGACTGAGCCCTCTGAACTCTGCATGTGAGTGGATATGTGTGTGCAAATCCACAGGCGAAGGGTGGGGAGCTCGTGGCACTGGTCTGTGAAGGGGTGAACTGTCTTCAGAATGGTCCGATGTTGGGTCTATCCTGGTTCTAAAGGCAGTCATAGCCCAGAAGGTTCCCGGTCCATAGCGGTCCTGTCTTAGTAGCAGACTTTCATAGGATGGAGGTCCATCAGGGTGACGGCCAGGGGGTGGTGGTTGTGAGTGTTCGGGAGAAGAGGTGTGATCATGACATGGCGGTCTAGGTGGTGGCCTGCGAGGAGGGAGGGGCCTAGTGTTAACAGGTGGAGGAGCTAGTGTGGAATTACTGGGGAGACGTCTGGGTCTTGTTACTATTTCTGCTGCATTTGCTGTTTCGTGGCATGTTGTGAAAGTACTCTGTGAATCTGTAGATTGTTGGCTAACAGAATGTAGCTGTTCTAAACGAGGAGCAGATGGAGGTAATGTCACCAAATTTGAGCAGGGAACTGCTGAAGCAGAGCTTGAACTTGGTGGTGGGTTGCTGTTTGATGCCTCAGGGGGCACCATTTTTGTTCCAGTAGCTGAAACATTTGTAACTCTGTGTTTGCTGTGGTGAAGTGTGTGCATGTGGTATGTCCGATGGGATAACGTGTGTCTCACATAGCCACCGTGGAGAGCATTAAGATCAAGTTGAGAGGGTGGAGGTGGGAAATCATCTCTCTTGTTGCAAAAGGAAATGGAAGCTCCATCTCTGGGGAACTGCTGTAAGGAAGAGAGAGATGATTTCCTTTCTGGAACTTTAGGCTTTCTTTTACCAGTTGAAGGGGACAGGGGTCCTGGGAAGAATGCTGCTGAAGATGAGGGCAAAGTTGATGTTGGAGTTTCTGATTGGCTGGAATAGCCACTTGACGGTGAGGCTAGACCAGCCAGTTTTTCAGGGGACCCAAGCTTAAAATCTCCAGGTGGAAGAGGTGGACTGCTTGCCTTGGTCTCTATAATCTGGGCAATGGCCTGGGTTTGCATTTCTGTGGAGGAAGAAGAGCTGTCTGGTGACTTGACACACTCCATGACAGTGGTTCCTGTGGCTGTGCTTGAGTTGGACATTGACGTGTACTCACAATTGTTAGACTTCAATTCACTGTTGTGAAGCCATAGGTCTGCATAGTCTGACTGCACAGCACCTTCATCCTTAAACGAGTGTGTATCTGCAGAAGTGAAGGACATGGGCTCTACTATGTCCAAGGCTTCCCCCAGTCCCATGCCCCAACTACCCAAAGAATCTGCCACTAGACAAGAAGTCTGCAATGGTTCTGGAGCGCCTCCAATTTCTAGGTCTAGTTCTAGTTTCATATATGTGGAAGACGAGGTCAGTTCTTGCTCACTAACCATCTTTGGTTCATCCTTATCTGCTTGCGTGTCTGTTCCAATGTCAACACTGCTATTTGATTCCTTCAACGAGGACGTTCGTTTGGGTGGAAGAGGTTTGACTTTGGATTTCCTTAGGGAACGACAAGTCCTACCAAGGGTCATAGTGCCAGCTTTGATGTCAGCTAAACGCTGGGGGTAAACTCCATGAGATGATTTTATTGCCACAGTGCTGGAGTGAGCACAGTCAGGCCCTGGGTCTGCATAGTTACATTTGTATGCTGTGTAACTCTGATTACATGCATCAAAATTCCCAGAGGATGAGTAGAAACCTTCTGTATCAGATCGGTAATGAGGGCCAGACTCTTTTTCAGCATTGCTAGTTTTGTCATTGAAACATGTCTGGTCATCCAGGCCTTGTTTTGAGCTGTATTCTTGGATTAACTCATGGCTTTCATTCAAGTTTGGAGTGTGGTCAAGGTCTTGGTCCGGATCAAGCTGATCTTGGTCAGGTGGGTATGTCCACTCCCCTTCACTGGCCGTGCTGACTCCTGCATCATCCATCTGGTCTGTGGCTGAGGACGTAAACGAGCTTGACCTGTGGCCCTGGCTCTGGGGTCTGAGGTCAGAGGGGTACGAAGGGTCTAGCGAAAATCCTTCATCAGTGGCATTGGGTACAGTGTTCAATGACAGCTCTGAATCACAGTGGGACGAGCCTGTGAGGGGTGGAGAAGAGGGTGGAGGAATGGTTTCAGAAGTTTGTGAGGGGCAGGTGGAGCTAGAACCACTCCAGTTCCCACTTGATGACTGGTGGTCTTCCTTGTGGTCCACATGGCTGCCTAGAACTCCTGTTGTTGACACAGAATGAATAGGGCTGCTGAAAGTATCAGAACTGGAAGAGATCTCACAGCTGCCCATGTCAGCCTTGCGAGGTAAACGAGAACGGCCTCTCTCCATCCAGCTGTGCTCTGGACTCCCGCCTCCTCCACCTCCTCTGTCTCTTTCACCAGATCGCTGGAGTCTTTTCAGACTTCCAAGTTGCAGTGGCTCAGGAGCAGCTTGATCATCGGTGCTCTCTTCTTCATCCTTCATCAGCATCATCTTCATTCTTGGGCTTGGCCCTTGTGGAATGAAGTCCTCTGCTTCATAAGGTGACAGCTCTTCATCATCGTCATCATCATCATAATTGTCATCATCATCATCCTCGTCACTGTCCATCAGACGCCCACCTTCTCGTGGAAGGCTGCGTGAGCGCAATCGCCCGCCGTGCGCTGATGCCATGGTGTACGTTGAGTCTGACTGATCACCCAGGGAGGAAATGTTGCCCGTTGAATGGGACAAAGAGGCAGGGATTCCCTGATGGCTGCGCTGAGCTCTAATCCGCCTCCTGGAAGGAGCAGCTATAAAAGTAAAGAGAAAAGTGAATTAAGGGAAACACTCATCATTTAAAATGGAAGGAGCATTCATTAAAGGAATGCAAATCGCACACTGTCTTACAAAAATTTTCAATGAAGTTACTGTGACCTGTAAAATGCTCAGTATCAGTTGAAATTGACTCTAAGCTACGTCAAAACCAAAGTTTAGCTTAATAATCTGTAAAATTGACTTTGTTACATCCATTCTTGTGTTTGTTAAGGTTGGTTGGTTGTGGCTGTTGTCTTTAAATTGGGTTGACTCTGATAGATGATCAGTTTTAGATGTACAACCAATAATTTCTTTGAGAGTTTCATGAATGGTCAGGAAAATATTTTGCAAACAGACAGACAAACAACCACATGCACACAGACAAGCTTGAGGATAATGGTACACTGGCAGGTTTCAGATGTTTCTATTCAAAAACATCACAACCATTTATCTAAGATAATAAGTAATGATTTTAACATTAACCTACAAGTCTCTACAGCAAAAATCCCTTGTTGTTCTGGTCTATATATCATAGGGCCTTTTTCCACGGGCTATTCTCAGCCCTGTAGGAGTTGTGCTTTCCCTGGTCTGTCTCCCTCTAGTGTTTTATATTTGTCTTCTCCCCCTCTGATGTCTGCACCTGTGATGTTTCACAGGTGTTCTGTGTTAGTCTCGTTAGTGTGTGTATTTAAGTCTGTTTGCCTGCGTCCCTCATTGTCTGGTCATTGTGTCACTGTGATGCCTGTCCTGCTCCTCGTGTCCTGTGTCCTGTTCCATGATTTATGTAAGTCTGCTGCCCCGTCAGCCATCTTTATTTTGGAAATAATAAATTATTTATTTTATATTCCCTGAGTCCTGCCTGTCTACCTTCACCAATGGGTCTCCTGCCTAGAAATCATCACAAGCCCTACTCGGGTTGACTCGGCATAGCTTCAGAGTCTCTCTATTGGCTGATTCCACCAGCTTCTAGCTCGGGTTTAGGAACTTCTTGGTCCGAGTCGAGGTGATGATTTGACATTAGCATACTGCATGGCATTGAATGGCAAGAGAGAGCTCAGTCTCCTTTACAAAAAGCCAACCCCATGTCACTATAAAGATGTGTAAATGTGTCTGTGCTTGTTGGCTGACAGCAGAATAAAGACAGAGCTGGAACGAATGGACTCGCGTTATGGGCTCAGACCGGCAGAGGGAAGATGACTTTGACTCGGCTACAGCATCTCTGGAAACCGTAGCAGAGGATGGTGAGTGTTTTGTATTTATTTCACTTTTTTACACATTGCTGTGTTTTGGGTTTTTTTTTTTTTGCCTTGGATAGAAAATAAAATAGTGGAAGTTTTAGTGCGGCTATGCTATGATGCTCCTTCTCTCATCGAGGCGGCAGTCTTAATTTGAACCGGATCTTGCCAGAACATCCATCCATCCATCCATCCATTAATTATCTTTACCCGCTTAATCCATTTTGGGTCACGGGGGTCGCTGGTGCCCATGTCCAGCAATCACTGTGCGAGGGGCGGGGTACACCCTGGATGGGTCGCAAGTCCATCACAGGGCCACATAGAGACAAACGAGACAAACAAACATTCACTCTCTCACTCACACCTAGGGACAATTTAGAGTTGCCAATCAGCCTAACATGCATGTTTTTGGTCTGTGGGAGGAAACCGGAGCACCCGGAGAAAACCCACGCATGCACGGAGAGAACATGCAAACTCCACCCAGAAAGGCCCCTGGACCGGGGTTTGAACCAAGGACCTGCTCGCTGAGAGGCAGCAGCTCTACCAGTTGCGCCACTGTGCTGCCTCTTGCCAGAACAATATCTGGGAATTCTCTTATTTTGTCAGGGTGTGTTCCGGCAACTGTTTGATTGGATCTGGCAACTCTCAGGCTTACTAATAATAAAGTTATGAACAAATATGACTGCCTTATCGTTTTGGGAGCCATGCTTGAACCGTGTTTCTCCCCTCTGCTGCTGAGATGATAAATAAATAACTCCGACACCTCCTCAGCTGTTTTTTTTTTTTCTTTCTTTTTGACGCCCTGGATGCTTGTCACCCACAGCATGCATGCAACAAAGAGTATAGACTCAAAGCGAGAGTGATACCTGCCCCTCTTTTTGTCTTTCGCGTTAATAAAATGTTTTAGTTTTATGAATGAATTTGTCAAAGCAGTTTTCATGTTTTTTTTGTTTGTTTTTTTTGTAAATACAGAAGTAATGTTTAATAAATGCTAGGACTCAATTCTTTACTAACAATATATATTTTATGTCATTAAGCAACTTGTCAGGTTCTTGTCTTGTGAGCATGCATATTCCCCAGGACACCCCACCCCCCCAGCCGATCTGCTCACTATTTTTCGTTTCAGCGTCCATCGGTTTACAAATGAAACCCTGCAAAGTGGCACTGAAGTTATATCAAACCTGCTGAGACCATGTAGGCACGAGTGGAGTCAAAACGAGTCATAATGAGACGATAGCAAAACAACTATAGTGTGACACTGAAACAAACTTCCTACACTTTGTTGAGTAAACTCACATGCTATAAGGAAATCATCTGTCTGGCAGCCAGAGTCTCGGGTGTGATGGAGACGACCACTGATGGAGACGTCCTCCTGACACAGAGACAGTTGGTGTGCATGGGCATGGATGATCACTGTCCGCTCCCTTGCTACTGGTGATTCATCCGAGTCTGAAGGCAACATGTAAAACATCTTCAGTTGGTGAAAAGTACTAGTTAATATGATTCTTTTCTTTTAACCATGATCCCGTGCACAACTACAATTACTGAACCTACCCATGTCATGCTGCACTCGTTTGGGTATTCCTGTGATGGTCTTCCTCCTCCTCAGCTTCCTCCGCCTCTGAAGGACTGACTGGGAGTGAACCAGAGAGCAACGAGCACTGGCCTCGCGGTCGAACCCGACTCCTGCATTAACGACAGAACCTGATAAACATATAAAACTCAAAGTGGAACAGAGTATGTGGTAGCACCGGAACAATACATATTATTATATATATTAAAAATACTCCTTTTTTTCATGCTTTATTTATCAGTGGAAGTCGGTCTAAACACATTTCTTGCGTTTCTTTTTTAGTTTACCTGTAACATTAATGGGAATGATGCACGAGGAGATGGCGTTAGAATCATCCGATATCTGATCTGAAGGCGGGATGTTTTCCTTGGACCAGTTTGTTTGTTTGTCCTGGGTTGGGGGGGCACTGTGGACCGAGTCCTTGGCTTTTTGGCCTCCCAACACCTCGGGCATTTCACCTTCCTCTGTAGAGGTACCCTGCAGGAAACAGTGTTTGAACATATTTGCTGATACAGCCTCACAGTTTTAGTTGGATCAAGTTAGGCTAAAGAACATTTTTACGTGGGTAATGTGTACCATGACCTAAGACACACAACAACACAATACAACCAAGAAATAAACATAAAAGGAATTAATACATAAAAAAAAAAATTTGCAACAAAACAAATTGATACCTTTCTATTCCATGGAATGAAGATGCAACCTTCAATAGTGTCAAGTGAGTAAAAGCACTCAAACTATGAACAAAAACAAAAATTAAATTTAAAAACACTGATGATGCGTCATGAATCATCTAAAGCCTGTATCTCACTTGGCGAGTGACTGGAGACACAAATTTTCCACCTGGATTCATCTGAATTTGTAGTTCTGACACATTTGTGAACGTGCAAATTAATAAATTGTGACACTCCTGCAGAAGACACACAAGTTTACTTGTCAGGATTTAATCACAAATTGACCTAATTATCACTCAGTTTGATCACAACTTATTCTGCTCTTGTTTTGTCTCAAGTCAGTCACAATTTGGTTTGAAAGGCCGACAACCCCTTCAGAAGTTGTCAAATTTTTTCACTTTTTCTGACTAAAACTAAACAGAGTGATTCCAGATGTCGACGCTTTGACCATTTTCAGACAAAAGTGTCACAATTTTTTTTGACAAAAGTTCCTGCGACACTAGAGAGGCCCTGTTGAGAACCCTGGAGAATATGTTTGTCGCCAACAGTCTCCTCCTGGTGAGATACTGACTTTAAACAAGGAGTAGTTGCAAATAAAAGAATCAAAAGAAGGTTCAAATGTAAATGATGGATCAGTAAGTCTTTGCATTTTTCATGATCTTATAAGAAGCTTGAACCACAGCTATTGAAAAACTCTTCCCTTTACAGTTTTTGAAGACGTATACTTAAAAAACATGTTCTGATAAAATATTAAAGGGAAGCAGACTTGATGTTGTAGAGCGCAAACCTTTCTTTGGATTGTTTGACTGTCTGCCTCTCTGGCTGGCCTCTCCTGTGGGTGAGAGAAACAACCACATCAGGTGTTATTTTACAAATATGAGGCTAGGCCTGTCACGATAAACAATCAATTAATCGCACGATAAATGAAAATTATCAACCTCATTTTCATTTATCGGCTTTATTGTTTCTTCGTGTCTTTGTCTTTCTACTGAAGACAATGGATGAAAAAAGGCTAAATTCCGGTATTCTTCACTGACCTCTCCCTTTCTCTTTTAAATCCATTACGACCGTCTAAAATCACGTTTTTGGATCATTAAAAGTAGCTAAGCTGAGAAGCTAAGCTACAAGCTAAGCTAACAGGCCGACCTCAGGGGGGGAAAACCTCCGTCTTGTCGAAGCTCCAAAATTCACGGTTGAAACCCGTGCCTTTGTGTAAAAAGTTGCTTTGCTCTGCAAAAAGAAGCTGAGAACTTTACTGATTTTTTATTAAAAGCTTTGTGAGAAAAATGTTTTGCTAAAGATCTCAAACCACACCGAGCATCCGCCATTTTGAGAACCGAAGAGAGGAAGAAGAGACTGCCCATGTAACGTCAAGGGGCCCCCCTCCCATTTTCTTAAAGAGACACATTGCTCGCTCCCTCACTATCCATCCTTCGGTTCAAACTGTCTTATACTGCCACCCAGTGGTCAATAAAAGGTTCTACATGCAAAACAAATTAACAAACATTTCTTCTTAAATTTGACAATAATTACTAATTATTGTCAAATTTCAAACAATGTTATCGTTTATTGCAATAATTTCTGAGACAATTAATCGCCCAGCAAAATTTGATATCATGACAGGCCTACATGAGGCTAAATGAATTAAATTAATCTGTGAACTTTGTTTACCTTTTTCTCCGTAGTCTGAATCTCTGTTTCTCTCACAGGCCTCTCCTTCAACAGGAAATAAATTAAACTTAGTGTCACTTAAACAAGTTCCGATACAACCACACTCTGAACGACGTAAATGTTTACTAGAATCTAATAAAGTGTCGTAGTACTAATATTTAGGTTGATGATATGTTAACTCAGGGACAAAAACACATTACCTTCCTGGGTTGGTAGTCCTGCTCCCGCTCCCGCTCTACTCTCTCCTGCTGCAGGACAACGTTAGAATAAGATCGGAAAAGAACATTTTGGATGTGTGCGAGAGCAAAAACACGAATCTCTAAAAACTGGTTCAGACGTGAAAAAAAAAGACAGTTCAGCCTCAATCAGGACTCAGGTTTGAGGCCAAACTAAACCTGATCTGGACCTCAGCAGGTTCTAAAGTGATCCAAATCTGACCTCAGAAACAAAAACTGGTTCCACTGAGTCATTATTTATTAAACAGAAAATGGTTCTAGGTCTTGACCCAACAAAACCTCCTCCAGCAGCAGAACCCTCAGTGGTTCTCTGTAGGACTTCATCAGTCTCTCTCATGGTTCTGGAGGAGTTTTGGTCCACTCTTCAGCTCTCTGAAGGTCCACCACAGTGTTTCAGTCAGGTTGAGGTTCTGGACTCTGACTGGACCGTTGCAGCACATTGGTTCTGTTCTTTCTGACCCGTTCTATTGTAGATTAGCGGCTTTGTTTGGGATCATGGTTCTATGGGACCCAGTTTGGTCCAAGCTTCAGCTGTTGGACAGATGGACCCACATCAGACTCCAGAACTCTACAGAGGAGTTCTTGGTCCATTCACTGACTGACAGAAGCCCAAACCTTCAGCCCTCCTCCACCGTGCTGACAGCTGGGAGGAGCTGATTGCTGCAGTGCATTCTGGGTAAGCATCTGTCCTCTGCTCTGGTTCTGGTCCAGAAGTCTTGTGGTTCTTTCAGATGAAACTTTCCAAACTTAAGTCAAGCTGCCATGTTATTAGAGTAAAGAAGCCATGACCTTTGACCTTCTGATTGAGGCCTGTAGAGTCACTGCACGCCTTCAGGGTGAATCAGCTGTCTGAAATGTTTTCCACTTGTGAATAATCTTTCTGTCTATGAAATGACGGACTCCAAATGAGAGTTGCCCCTTCCCAGATTGACTTGCAGCAGCAGCTGCTTCTGTGAGGTCACTGCTGATATCTTTCTGCCTTGGCATTGTGTTAACACACACTTGGATGCTCCAGATTAGAGGTGGTCCCACTGATGAGGATCATTCGATCAGCAGCTCCTGATCCTGAACCTCTGAGATCCTGTGGGAGCAGTTTTTCACTCTCAGCTTTAAGGTTTTATTTTTGTTGAATAAATAACGACTCTGGAATCTATTGTGTGTTTCTGTTTACTTGAGGTTAGATTTAAATAATTTTTTAAGCTTGTTCAGACCAGATCAGGTTCATTAATCCTAAAATCTCTATGTTTTTGGCCATCTTCCTGCTAAATCCAGTCCAATATTTTCCAGGAACTGCCTCCTGATTGTCATGGATCATGGATTGTCCATAACGAACACTATGTTCACTCTCGACCTTGACCTCTCTAAGTGGCTTTAAGAATCTGTTGGACTCCTGGCAGGGACCAATGCAGACATGTTCCTGTTTTTAGTTTTATACATTTGTCTTGGAATCTAGCTGTTTTTTTTTTGTTTTGTTACCTTTTTCCTTTTAGCCATCCTATTTGTAAAAAAAAAAAAAAAAAAAAAACTGTAGTATGAGTTTTTTTAACTGCTTATTTTTTTTGCTGTTGTCCATTGTTGTCATCTTTCTTTGTTGAAATCAGGTCTCTCTTGTAAATGAGTCCTCGAGGCTCAATGGGATTTACCTGTATAAATAAAGGTTGATTGATGTTCAAGCATAAGGGTGTCCATATGTGCTCTTGGCACCAGGACACCCTATGCCGCAGTTCGATGATCGACTTTGTCGTCGTCTCATCTGATCTGCAGCCACGTGTCTTGGACACTCGGGTGAAGAGAGGGGCGGAGCTGTCCACTGATCACTACCTGGTGGTAAGTTGGCTCCGATGGTGGGGGAGGATGCCGGTCAGACCTGGCAGGCCCAAACGTATTGTGAGGGTTTGCTGGGAACGTCTGTCAGACTCCTGTGAGACGGAGCTTTAACTCCCACCTCCAGGAGAACTTCGAACATGTTCCGGGGAGGTAGGGGACATTGAGTTGCAAGGTTGTCGGTGCCTGTCGCGGCGTCAACCCTCGAACCCGGTGGTGGACACCGGCGGTGAAGGATGCTGTCAGGCTGAAGAAGGAGTCCTATTGGGCCTTTTTGGCCTGTGGGACCCCGGAAGCAGCTGATGGGTACCGGCAGTCCAAGCGACATGCGACTCGGGTGGTTGCTGAGGCAAAAACTCGGGCATGGGAGGAGTTCGGAGAGGCCATGGAGAATGACTTCCGCACGGCTTTGAGGCGATTCTAGTCCACCATCCGGCGTCTCGGGGGGAGAAAGCGGTACACCAGCAACACCGTTTATAGTGGGGGTGGTGTGCTGCTGATCTCAACTCGGGATGTTGTGGGTCGGTGGGCAGAATACTTTGAAGACCTGCTCAATCCCACCGGCACATCTTCCACTGATGAAGCAAAGCCTGGGGACTCTGGGTTGGGACCTCCAATCTCTGGTGCTGAGGTCACTGAGGTGGTTAAAACGCTCCTCGGTGGCAGGGCCCCAGGGGTGGATGAGATTCGCCCGGAGTTCCTTAAGGCTCTGGATGCTGTAGGGTTACGTTGGCTTACGCGACTCTGCAATATTGCGTGGACATCGGGGGAAGTTCCCCTGGATTGGCAGACTGGGGTGGTGGTCCCCCAATTCATAAAGGAGGGCCGTAGAGTGTGTTCCAACTAAAGTGGGATCACGCTCTTAAGCCTCCCTGGTAAGGTCTATTCGGGGGTTCTGGAGAGGAGTGTCCATCGGCTAGTTGAACCTCGGATTTAGGAGGAGCAGTGCGGTTTTCATTCTGATTGTGGAACACTGGAGCAGCTCTACACTCTTAGCAGGGTCCTGGAGGGTGTGTGGGAGTTTGCCCAACCGGTCTACATGTGCTTTGTGGACTTGGAGAAGGCGTTCGACCGCATCCCTTGGGGAACCCTGTGGGGGGTACTCTGGGAGTATGGGGTACCAGGCCCTTTGATACGGGCTGTTAGGTCCCTGTATGACCGGTGTCAGAGCCTGGTCCGCATTGCCGGCAGTAAGTCGGGCTCGTTCCCAGTGAGAGTTGGACTCCGCCAAGGTTGCCCTTTTTCACCGATTCTGTTCATAACTTTTATGGACAGAATTTCTAGGCACAGCCAAGGTGTTGAGGGGATCCATTTTGGTGGCCTTAGGATCGTGTCTCTGCTTTTTGCAGATGATGTGGTCCTATTGGCTTCATCAAATTTTGAGCTTCAGCTTTTGCGGAGCTGGTCGCAGCTGAGTGCGACACAGCCGATATGAAGATCAGTTCCTCCAAATCCGAGGCCATGGTCTTGAGCTGAAAAAAGGTACAGTGCCCTCTCCGGGTCAGGTAGGAGGTCCTGCCCCAAGTGGAGGAGTTCAAGTATCTTGGGGTCTTGTTCACGAATAAGGGAAAAATGGAGCGTGAGATCGATAGGCAGATAGGTGCAGCGTCTGCAGTGAAGCGGACGCTGTACAGGTCTGTCGTGGTGAAGAGAGAGCTGAGTCAAAAGGCAAAGCTCTCAATTTACCGATCAATCTATGTTCCTACCCTCATCTATGGACACGAGCTTTGGGTTGTGACCGAAAGAATGAGATCTTGGATACAAGCAGCTGAAATGAGACACCGCAGGGTGTCTGGGCTCTCCCTTAGAGATAGGGTGAGAAGCTCGATCATTTGGGGAGTGGTGGCGCAGAGGTTAGAGAGGTGGGCCTGTGATCCGAAGATCACCGGTTCATGCCCCGTCCCCGACAACATCAAAATTGTGGGTGGGGTAGGTGAAGCACCCACACTTGCCCCCACCCTCATTCGCCCCACTCTGGGCCCATGAGCAAGGCCCTTAACCCCCCATCTGCTCCCTAAACAGGTCTCTCTTGAAAATGAGTTCTTGTGGCTCAATGAGACTACCTGTATAAATAAAGGGTAAATGAAAAAAAAAAAATCCGGGAGGGACTCAGAGTAGAGCCGCTGATTCTCCACGTCAAGAGGAGCCAGTTTAGGTGACTCAGGCATCTGGTTAGGATGCCTCCTGGACGTCTCCCTGGTGAGGTGTTACGGACACGTCCCACCGGGAGGAGACCCAGAAGAAAACCTAGGACACGCTGGAGGGACTATGTTTCTTGGCTGTCCTGGGAACGCCTCGGGATTTCCCCGGAGGAGCTGGCCCAGGTGGCTGGGGAGAGGGAAGTCTGGGCCTCCCTACTTAAGCTGCTACCCCCATGACCCGACCCCGGATAAGCGGAAGAAAATGGATTGATGGATGGATGCCTCCTGATTGATGGTTTATATCATATATTGCTTCACAGACGTTGAGTTTTACCGCTCGTGCCAGGCGACTCCTCTGCTGCCGGCGGATGGTGTGCGGTGAGGGAAAGGTGGGCATGGGTGGTGCCACCGAGATGGAAATGGTCACCCTGTTTCTCTCCCGACTTGAGGAACGCTGCTGCTGTTCATCTGTGCGCCCCAGAAACACCCCGTTAAAACGTGCACTCTGTGTGATTAGTACAATAAAAAACAGCCAGCAGCCGCTCACCTCGGTGCAGAGCTCGGAGGCTGAGCTGGGCGTTCCTGTGCAGCTCCTCCAGACACGGCGCTCGGGTGCAGGGATGAAAAACATTGTGCTGCTGATGCCATGGAGCCTGATAGTGAGCCGACAACTTGCTCTCAACATCCAAGTTCGACACCGCTAAAAGACGGGGCACAGGGAAAAGAATGTATTAAAGCAAATATTTCTACATCTTTTACTTTAACAATCATCACCAGATACACGAGATAACCATGACTCGGTATTTGTATATGAGCGTGCACATGTCTGTGGGTTCTCAGTCAGCAACTCGAGGCTTAATGAGGTAAATAAGACAAATCACTGACTTCAGCCATGTTGCATATATAGGACCTGAAAATATTCTGCCGATCTAGGAACACATCACATGTTGGCATGGACTCTGACTCTCATATCAGTTGATAATTACAAACTAACCTCAAATATATCTTCAGCCTTAAGAAGGAAACAAGATACAGGCTCCAAAATGATGCTCCTGGAGCAACAAAAATACTAAAAATGTGAGTTGAATGAAAAAGAAACAGCTGGAGGAACGTTTTTAACTAATAGGGTTAATGTGCAATGGGTCAGTAAGCAGACTGGGTATAAAAACTACAGAAGTCCCTCGTTCATCACGGGATCCGTACCCTGAAGTCCTACGATAAGTGAAAAACCACAAAGTAGGAATAGCTGTACAAGTAGTAAGTAGTACTTTA